GACCGGCGATGGTGACGCAGGGACGGCCGGTGATGGTGAGGCAGAGGTCGACGACCGGCGATGGTGAGGCAGAGGGCGACGACCGGCGATGGTGAGGCAGGGAGAGAACGAGAGATGAATATGTTGGATCTAGGGGACGACCGGCGATGATCTTTGAGTTGCATCTCTCGTTTTAGGGGAGTGTTTTTTTCTAGAGAACGAGAGATGAATATAAAGGGTAAGAAGGTAAAAAAATGGCTGAGTGGATATGACTTTCCTTGGTGGGCTGAGCGGAGCGAATCAGTCTAATTCTGGCCCATGAAGTCACTTCCGAACACTTATATATGGCTTAGCGAATAAGCCATACATGCTATAGCCCATTAAGTCACTTCCGAACAGCCCCTAAAATGTCAACAACTGAATGGCTGGTTACATAAGAACCCTTTTTTCGTAATTTCACCCATCTAATTGTAGCTTTTTACATAAACCTGGCAGATGGAGGTCATAGTTCCATTCCATCAGGTAATTTCTACGAAGATGGAAACGGGGGCAGCAATCGTTTTCTAGACATGAGCAGTAGATGAGGTAATTTTGGCAGGGGTATTCTTGGGTATTCTGTACAAAATCAGTAGCTGTTGTGGAGATGGATGGAGGAAGATGTGAAGGTATCTATCTATGTGTACAAAAGTTCCTCCTCCCCTAATATTTTGATTATTTACATTATCGCCCTTTTTGTTATACGGGGTCATTTGCTAGATTTGGAAAGTTTGTGAATATTATTAGTCGGTTTTTAGGGTAGCCGAAGATGAAAATTACTTGTTAGACTGTTTTAACAACCCCACCCGAGCCCACAGTAGTAAATCGAAATCTGTTAAGTTTTTACTGCTAGTTTTGGGGATGTTTTTGCCTTTACTTTCAACATAAAATGCATGTTTTTTTAACTGTGAATGTTCGGGCCAAGTACCTCGACTAATCGTAGATTCGCAGGGCCTTGGAGAATAGCCAGGGAAATCCCCAGTGGCCTAGGATTTGAACAGGTGACCTCTGGCGAAATGCATGTTTTCCATTGTGCATAGCAGAAAGAGGTCTTTTCTGGTTTATTTTGAAGATTGAACTTCATTTTTTTTTACATTAGAAGTGGTAAGTGGGTTTGGGACCGGTTATTAAGGAGCCGTTTTCTAAACGCTTAACGGGTAAGCGCTTATTAGGTCATTTACCTAGTTACCTTATCGAATGAGCATGACTGATAATCTAACCCAGTAAGAGGTATAGCAACACTCGGTGAAAGAGGACTCTTACATGGTTAGTGCTTACCGGGTAGGTGACGGTTACAATTAAATTTAATGGCTGAAAATGTTACCCGACAAGGTAAGCGAGGGTGATGAGTTTTAGGGGCCATTTACCCAAATGCTTACTCGGTAAGCGCTTACCGGTAGGAGTCAACATTATAATCTATTTTACCAAGTAAGATTGTAGCATATTAAAATGGCATCGTATGTAACAATTTATCCGGTAAATGCTTACCCGGGTAAGATTTTCGGCCCTTGCCATATTCAATAGGTGACAAAAATTACCCTATAAACACTTACCGGGTAAGTGTTTAGTAAACGGCCCCTTAAATTCCTTTTTTGGTAAGTATTAATTTTGAAGCAATTAATAGAAAGATGACATTACGCGTTATTTTAGAGACAGGTCCTTCAAGAAATGAGACTTTTATTTAAGGTTATATATTTAATTAAAATCTTATTTAAATTTTTAAGACTGGGTTACGGCGAGAAAAGAGAGTTAATATGAGAAGCGTAAGAAGAGATTTCTATCCTTGGATGCATATTAGGATGAGATGCATCCGATCAATCCCATATTAAGCGCGATTTATGGGTTGGTTTGAGATTAAAAGTGATCAAGGGTCTAGATCTCTTGTTACACTTCTCACTTTAACTCTCATTTTCACACGATTCTTATCCTTTGCCTAAGGTTATGTACCTAAATATACCAAAATTTTATAATCTAATTTGATATATGAATGTGAAAGAACTGATATTCTCTAAAATATAGAAGTAAAAATTAAATTTATATAAAAATTACATCTAATTTGAAACATTTTTTTCTTTTAGAGATTTAAACATTAGTTATTTTATTAAAAAAAATTCAATAGACTTGGTATCACGTGAGACCAACTTATTTTCGTAAGACTATTTTTTTACACTTAAAACTTCAAAGCAAAACGCTATAAAAGTAACATTCACAGTGTTTTTGCTGTGAAGATTCGACCTTTTTTACTTTCACAGCATGTTGCTGTGAAGTTTTAAGTGTAAAAAAATGGTCTCGAATGAACCCAACCCAGATTCAATATATTCAGTAATTTCCAAAAATAATTTTGCATATCAATGCATTTCTCTTTCCTTAAAAAAAATCCAAAACAATAATTAATACACTTTTACAAAATAATTTGTGAATTATGTTGAAGTAGAAATTTTATTTCTATTTTTTCTATTTTAAAGATTCTGTTACAAATACTAGAAACAAGGAAAAAAACCTACGGGATTAAACACAAGGTTCGAACCAAAACCAAAAGAACCGATATAACCCAAAGCAATAACGTTTATCAACAATCATTACATAAAATTTAAACGACATCAACTTTTGAGAACAATTACGTCTCAAACGAAACTACAAATTATCATCACGAGCAACAACTTCTCCTATTTGTTGTTGTAACACTTTTTTTCGTTATTTATATCACGAACGTATATACCATTCCCTGCACAACGTTAACTATCTATTAACAACCATCCAAGCCACATACACCACCAAAAGATCTTCGAGAGAACGTCACCCTGAATAGCAAAGAAACGAAAAATAGAATCAACAAATGATTTTGAAACGTGTAAATAACTCACCAAAGGTCATCAGTCAGTTGTACTTGTACATGAGTTACCAGTAGACCCCAACCTCCTAATTGGTCAAAGGGTTCATGTTTCACCAAATACGAGGAGGGGTTAAGTTACAGTGAGAATAAGAGTTATGGTGAAAAAGTGAGAACAAGACCTTCATATACATTGATTTACCTTCAATTACTTTTATTTAACTGTTTTTATCATGCATGTGAAAGTAATTAAATATATGTAAAGGTCCGTAAAAGGGACTAAAATTGAATATAAGGGTAGTTAAAGGTAAATGAAATTAAATCAAAAGATCAATTCATTCAAAAGCTCAGAAGTGTTCTCATCGTTCTCACCACAACTGATATTCTCAAATGATCCTAAGTCATGTGACGAGTGTGCGTAGTATTTGCTATATATTTAAAAAAGTGTAAATAACTCGTATGAGAGAGATTGGAAAGCGACCTCGAGCTTCAAATTTCACTCCTTACGGCTGTTGAAATCGAGGGATCACGAACAATACGAAAAGATATTGTCACAAACATAACTGAAAACGTCTGGAATTGAATGAAAGTGTGAAGGCAAGAACCCGAACTTCATCTTGCACCACGCAAACTTGATTTGGGACGTCTTAACCAACAAGACTTCGTTGCCTATTATTCCAACTTAAGATCATTAGCGTCATTATGCCTACTGCTGTTATAGTATATATTATTTATCGGGACAAATATATCAAAGATATAACGAAGTTTGTTTGATTTCTTGTTTTAGTATAATAGATAACTTTTTGTCGAGTAAATTACAGTTTTCGTCCTTGTGGTTTGTTAGAAATTGCGATTTTCATCACTATGCTTTGCAATTTATTGCTATTTTCGTCCTGGACTAATTTCTACCCTTAAAGTAGAAGGGACCAAAACAGTAAAGAATTGTAAACCATATGGACAAAAACAACAATAAATTGTAAACTATAAGGATGAAAATAGTAATGAATTACAAACCATAGGGACGAAAACCGCAATTTCTAAATCATAGAGACGAAAATCATAAGTTTTAACAAACCATAGGGATGAAAAAACATACTCTATTAATTTTTTCTTTCAAAATCAACGCAAAAAAGTTTCAGACTTTCTATTTCGTACGTATTTTGACGGGTAACCTCCTGATCTTGTAACATTTGATAATGTTGATATCCACGTTATCAAATGCCACAGTATCAACAGGTTACTCGCCAAAATACGTACAAAATAGAAAATTTTGAAACTATTACGATACTTGAGGGTAAAAAAAAAAATCTCGCTACATTTTGATACAATTTGCCACGATTCCAAGAAACAGAAAAGGCAAAAATTCAACACCGACAGGTCAAACATAAAAATCTAAAAGGAAATCTTTTCCTTTTTTGAAGTATATAATATTTATATACGACAAATAGAACAAATAAACTCACACACCCTCCTCACATTTGATGAAGTTTGAACCCCTGACCTCCTAGGAGGCCAAAGACTCACATATCGCTAGACCAAAAGCCCTCTTTGGTCTAAAAGAAAACCTTGTAAGATGAAATGAACCAAAAGAAGCCTGATTACTTACCGTTATGGTACCTTCTCGCAAAGTGTCGAGTGATTCCTCAAGTTCCATCTGTTTTGAAGCTGTGGCAAATAAGGCCTTCAAAAACAAATAATAGAAGATTACGTAAATTAATCAAAATATATAACAAAATTCATCAGGGGTAAGTTGGTCTTTCCTGTCACGTGCCGTGATACACATACACAACAGTTCAAGTTCGAGCTCAGCCTCACATGTGCTTGGGTAATAAAAAACATCGATAAAAACCCTTACTTTCTTTGTCTTCTGCAAGTCGGACTCCATGGATCTTATACGATTCAACGAATCAGCAAGAATCTCGTCTTTCTCTTCAGGAATTCTTGAAGGTTTACTCGAAAGCTCTACCACCAGTGCTTCCAACTGTTTCAACTTCTCTTCGAATGGATGCAAAAAGTCCTCTTTTTCAGGACTCCAATCATCTACAAACTCGTGCGATGATGATCTCATCATATTTCTCGCCAAAAACTTCCCCAATTCGACAACAACAAATATACATGCTACTACTTTGTATAGAAACTTGACCATATTATCCATGCTTCTTCGTGTCCAATCATCTGCTTCAAGAAAGACTTCTAAATATGGTTCAGGGGGCGGACAGTAGAGTCAACTATTTATTAATTATTCATAATGAATACTACTATGATAGATATTCATAACATAAATATCATGAATAATGAATATGCATGATATTCATGATGAATGATATGATATTCATCAAAAATAATTCATGAATAGTTGGTTCTCACAGTTATATATTATGATTGCTCGCACAAGATGAACTAATGATCACTTACTTGTAGGTAAGGTATGGATCTGAGTACCACAAACTACGGGTTCAACTCTAGTTCCTTTAGATACATGATAACTCATCGAGTCCTAAAAAACGGGCGATATTTGGCATAAGAGGATTAAATTAGTGTGTTTTCACTATAAATGAGGTATTCATATACTACCTCCCTTCCAAAATAAGTATCTGCTTTACTATATTTTAGTTTGTCCCAAAATAAGTTTCCACTTTCAACAGTACATGTCTACCTTCCTATTCCACCTTTAATTATGAGATGGAGAAAATTTCTTACCACTTAATTAAGGGTAAAATTGTCCTTTTGTTGATTAAAAATTATAATAATTACACATTTATTTTGGAGTAATAACTCTTTTTATCCATGTGGTTTGTTAAAACTTACAATTTTTTGTCCCTGTCATTTAGAAATTACGATTTTCGTCCCTATGGTTTGTAATTGATCGCTATTTTCGTCCTTATGATTTACAATCTATTGTTGTTTTGGTCCCTGTGGTTTACAATTCTTTACGTTTTGGTCCCTTATACTTAAAGATAGGAATTAGTCCAGGGACAAGAAAAACAATAAATTGCAAATTATAGGGACGGAAATCACAATTTCTAAATCATGGCCTCGTAGGGATGAAAATCAAAATTATTAACAAACCACAGGGACGAAAACCATAATTTATTCTTTATATTGGGACGGAGGAGTACTTCATAAGGCGAAAGTTCATTTAGGAATCGTAAATAATTTGATAACCATGAGAACCGTCTATTGATGAATTATTAATTATGAATATACCTTAATATCATTCATCATGGATATCATGCATTTTCATTATTCATGATGAATCATAAATATCTATCACGATATCATAAATGATTCATGAAGAGCTGGTTCTCATGGTCTCAAAATATTTACGGTTCTTGAAAGAATCTACCCCTACTTTATAAAATCTAAAAACACCAACCCTGTGGCGGAAAGACGTTGATCTACGGAATCCCGAGTTAGATACTAGCTCTTCCGAGAACTTACTGCTCATGGTCTGTGTCAAAACAAGTCTAGATTTGTAAAAAACCGCACGTACCTAAAAGATACGATATTCATGTATAATCTACAGACAATATGTGTCGAAACTCACCTCCGATACAATTGACTTGACTTCTAAGTCAATATCATCGTAAAAGCTACCACTTTTTCTTGTATCTCCATTGTTGACTAGCTGCGAAAAACTCAAATCGAGAGAATAAGCACACACGCACACACACACACACATATTCGAGCAAGAAACAAGAAAAATACCTTCATCAACTCTGAATCACACCAGGGTCCCTTATCGGACCTAAGACATCCCCCTTCATTTGGGCAGGAACACGTTCCACCAAGAAAATCCGGCAATTGACTATATGAAATTTAACAAAGATGCAAGTTCCGTTTAGTGCACCATGGACGAGCGTAAATTTAAAGCATTGCATCTATAAACACAAACCCACGAACCTCGAGTCTATAACTTCTAACAACTTGTTCTGATATTTGTTGCCCAGAACCTGTAATTTGCCCAGATTGAAGAACGGTCATGAACATAAAGTCTGGAGTATGAAATGGAAAAGATACGAGTGATTGACTTCTCAAACCAGTGTACTTTGCTTTTTGTTGCAAAAAACCATCATTCTCGTGAAAATACAAAAAGAACACTGTATACCCGGACGAGACTAGACGGGCAAGAGTGAGATAGACGCGTGAAAGAATTTTGGCAGGTTTTAGGGTTTTAATTTGAAATGGGTAATTTAGTAATTTATCAATGTTGTCTCATCTTGGCACATTACAGACATGACATGACCGGACTGGTACATACAAGACATGACAAGTCAGGTACAGGACACGATGGGTGAAACAATTTTGACAAGTTCTAGGATTTTAATTTGACATTGATAGTTCAGATGGAACAGAGAAAAACGTATTCTGACCCCACATATTGTCCCAGTCTAATAGAAAACCAAACGTGTGACAACAAATTTTTGTACCGTCCTGTCCTTTCACGTGCTGTCCAACATATCATATCAAATGCATCTACATAACCCAGTAGTGTTCTTTTTCTTTTTGGTGGTTTGCAATGAAAAAGCAAATCCAACGGTTCAAAAAGTCGATTACTTGAAAACATAGTCATGGTCAACTATACGTTTATCTTGGCTGTTGTTCTTGGATCAAGAAAGCCTTTTGCCGTATTCCATAGAAATTTAAATCCATTACCAGCATTGACGATGAACATCTGATGCAATGTCTGGTTAGAAAGACGAAACAAAAGATCAGCAAAAAGGCGTATAAATATACAAACAAATTCGGCATCTGGGTTAGCACCTCAGGATAGTTATCACCGTCGATTTTCTGCATACGCATGACCAAATCATGTGCAACTTTTCCAAAGCTCATCCAGTTCTACATAAATCACATGGTAAGAAACCTTCAAACTAATGAAAAGAGTGATTGACTTTTTGAACCACCGCATTTGGTCTTTTTGTTGCAAATTCACCATCGTTCTTATGATAAATGTAAGAAAAGGAAAAGGGAAATTGACTGAATCTCATCGACCAAATTCACTTTTTAGTCACTTTTAGTATCTCTTCCCAAATAGTCGTCTTTACGTAGATGCTTTATGCATATGCGTAAAGACGGATTTCTGGGGGAAAATTCCTAACGCATTCTTACGCAAAAGTCTGAATCCTTACGTAGAAAAATGTTTTTCTTTTTTTATCTGGAAATCAAGTTTATGCAAATGCGTAAGACATTTGCGTAAACTCTTGGCTAAAATAGGAATTCAATTGAAAAAGTGGCTAAAAAGTGAAGTTGCATTGGGGAGATTGGCTATTTTGGTCAATTTCCCAAAGAAAGATTATATTTTGCAAGAATGAGCGGTTTAGCACAAAATAGGGAATCATGTAAAAAGAATATAAGTGCTAAGGGTGTGTTTGGTATGTAGACGGGAGTCGATGGGACACTGTGAGGTAGGTTGGTGAAAGAATTCTGGAACCTTTTACGGTTTTATTTGACATGGGTAGTTTACAAATTTAGCAAAATCTTGTCCCATCTTCCAGATTCTTGTTCCACCTATTTAGGCAGTACAAATAAGATAGCATTTTTGTTCCACTCAGTCCTGTCCTGTCCCAGTCTAATGTCGCTCCAACTGGTACAACAAGTTTTTGTACTCATGTGTACCAAACGCACCCCAAAAGTGTACGGTGTTTTAGTATTTTCACAAGATTACTCGTTTGTTTGCAATTACAAGCCAATTATGATCGTTCAAAAAGTTGATACCTCGCACAAAATGAAAAGATAACGAAAAACGAGTGAGAATCAAACTAACCATCCCATGAACGTCCAATATTGTAGTACAAGAATCGATATGCCTTCGTGCTGAAACAGAACATGCGGGAAATTTCTCCGAAAAAGCCTTCTCAAAGCCTTGCACATGATACCTTAGAAACCTATCGACCGTTGTGACGCTCATAAGCTTATTAGGTTCAACTTTGCCAAGTCTTTCGATATAAACTGGTCGTCCCTCTTTATCCACCCCATGATAACCGTGAGGATAGTAGCGTTGAACCTCTTCATACTCTTCATAAACGAAATCCTAAAAAGCAGCATTGCATTGTGAAAAGATTATTAAAAGATTGTATTTCCTCCGTCCCAAAATAAACGTCCACAATGGAAAAAAATAGATGGTTTTAGAAATGTGTAATTATTACACTTTTTAATTAACCAAATGACAATTGTGTCCTTAATAATAGAGTGAATAATGAATTTCTTATATGCTATATTTTCTCTCTCTTCTTCGAAATTTGGAGATTTCTCCATTCTCTCTCCTTTTCTTTCTCTAATTTTCAACATAGCTTTTGGAACAAACTTTTACGAACTCCAGAATTTTTAAAATAATATAGCTGTTGGAGCTACTCTTTAGAGCATCCACAACAATGACAAGCTTCTTTAGCAAAGCTTCCCCCCCCCCCCCAAAAAAAAAAGTGGGACCCACAAAACAAACAAAAAAGTGGGACCCACAAACTTATCATGAGCTCGTGTCGTTGCCAGGAAAAAGTGTTTTTTTTTTCGGGAGCTTATTCGTAATCTTAGGTGGCAAAAGAAAAACTTTTCACAAAGCTTTTGAAAAAAAATCCATTGTGAATGCTCTTATTTTGAGATGGAGGGAGTAATTGTTGCTTGCCTTGTTCATACTCAAGAAGCGATACCGAATATGGAACCATCAAAAGGGGACTAATTCATCAAAGGTTTATAAAGTTCAATGCAGTTACTGATTTTTATTGGAAAATTTGAAGGACCCATATGGATTTTGTTGGATCCAAGATCTAATATTGAATTAATGATCTAAACAAAATACATAAAGCAGAAGCAATTTAGATGATGAAATGTTTCTAAAAAACAACTCACATTCACAAACTACAAATGGGGAAGTAGACTCTTATTTTTAGAAAAATACAAGATATAGTGATTTTCCTTTTCACAATTTTAACACTAAAATTGGGATTAACAGATTTCAAAGTTGAAAAGTACCATGTTTGACCTCAAAAGTCAAAGTATACTTCTTTTTTGGAAGAAATAGTTTAGAAAAGTGTATATAAAGATAAATGTGATAGTTACAAGAAGCACCTGTATGATAGAGTCTGCACCATATTCTTTCCTCCAGTTGAGCATTTCTGCCCACATCTGGACTGCCTTATAAAGGTCAAACTTTCTTGCCTTCAAGAATCTGCAACCCTCATGATGGAATTTTTTTTGAAAATATGAGCAATTAAGTCACAATTAAGATAAGTAAGAGGTCGTTTACTAAGTGCTTACTGATAAGAGTTATCACCCTCGCTTACCTTATTGGGTAACATTCTCGGCCATCAAATTGGATTGTTGGTAAGTATCTGTTACCCGGTAAGCGCTTACTGGGTAAGAGTCTTTTCCCTCACTTACCGGGTAGACTCTCGGTCCTTGCTATGTCACTTACCGGGTAAGATTTTCAATTATTTCCATGCTCAAACGTTAAGGTAACTGATATCAGTAAGCACTTACCTCGTAAGTGTTTAGTAAACAGTGCCTAAGTGTAAAATTACCTAGTCCCATTTAATTAGCGGATTTGGTGGAGTTGGATTTCATTTCAATCCCTCATTTGGTTTAAAGGAAAGTCCAGAATTTAAATCTCGAGCACAAACATGGGAGATAGAAATCCCATGAGTACAGTTGGTATTTCGCAGGATTTCATAGGATTTGTTAATAATAATGTCGTAAAATGTGTTAAAACACTTCTTTTGTAATATTCAACTAATAGAAAAAAGGTAATTTAATCATTTTTATAATTTGTTTTATAAATTATTTAGAGCTATCTCCAACAGATTCTTTATTTTAGTCAAAATCTCTAAACAAAATTATATTCATCTCCAATAGTTTTTCCATTTCGAAGATTACAAAATGAATTATATTATTAAAATATTCAATACCTTTCATAAAATATTATCTCCCCCATACATTTAATTTTTAGGATTTTCATTGGTAAGATCAATAAAAAATAATTTCTCTTTTATAAGTAATATTTTTGGAGAGTTCTCAAAATTTGGAGAATTTCATCCTCTATCTCTCCTACTTTCTCCATTTTGTAGAAGGTTTTGGAAATCTATTGGAGCAAAAATACCCAAAGTCTCCATTTTTTGGAGAATCTGTTAGAGATGCTCTTATAATGAATGAAATTCAATTCCATTCCAAATCCTTCCATGAAATCCAAATCTCTCAAAAAATTCCGTCAAACCAAAGAGGAAACATTCGTAGTTTTGATCATTTTGTTGCAGCTAATTATCTTATATGATTCCGATTCTTAAAGTAGCAATAATCACTTTGAAATGCATATACCGAAAGATCAATCTACCTCAATAACGTGTGGTAATCATCGTGACGATAAGGAAGCAACTCTTTCTCGATCAAAACTTGTCGAAACGCATTAACGGCCTTCTCTTCCTCCTCATCTCGAACATCATCGATCGCGATGTGTGCAAATTGGCAATTTGAAACATGTCTTTTTTTTATAGAGTTTGCCGATTTTGTTGAAGCAATCATAGCTTTTTTCTTGAAAGATCTAACCCTAATCCTTCTCTTCTCTTCCTCAAATTTCCCCAAATCATATCTTAATGCTTCTACGTAATCAAATCAATAATCACTGTTCTTTTATTAAAATTCAAATCAAATGACTTCAAATTGAATCAAAATTCAAATCAAATGACTTCAAATTGAATCAAAATTCAAATCAAATGACTTCAAAATTTAACCAGAATTTAGGAAGAATTACCTGGCATTGTAAATCAGGAATGAATAATTGAGCTTTGGAAGAACACAGAATCAACTGTAAAACCCTTGGATCACCGATCGAAGATCTGCATTCAATTATCAGATTATATCTCAGTTTTGAACTTCGATTATTCTCCTACATATTCAACAGTAACGTAACCGAATCAACAGATTCAAACCCTAAAAATGAAGAAATCGAAATCGCCAAATCCTTGGCACAACCACGCTACCGAGAATTTTGCTATTAGGAATCGGAAAAAAAAACGTCAAAAAAGAAGAAGATGGAATCAATTGAAAGAACAACAAGTAATGAAGAATCAATAATCATACAATCAAAATCGAATCAGAAAGTAGAATTGCACATGGAATTGATGAGTTTGCATGTACCTTGATAGAACCCACATTCGCCGATGTAAGTAATCAATGAAGAATGAATGATCTTTTACGTAGTTATGATTCAACCCACAAACACACACTACTTTTAGTGTTGATTTAGTTATATATATTATATATGATCATGATGATTGGTGTGTCAACAAGAGGCTTAGTTGGGTATCCAGGATTTAATAAAGGGTTTGCTTAGTGATTACTCTCTGTAAAGTAAAGAAATTGCTTTTGAATGAATTGGTTCAACTTTTCGAAATCTTTGAGGCCACAATGTTTATAGAAAATATTCGTTACAACAAATCCTTTTTCTACTTCTTGGTGATTCATAACTACTTTTTTGTGGGGTTATATTAAACGCCGTTTACCGCACACTTACCTGGTAAGTACTTATCGCTAAAATTTATATTATTATTTACTTATCGGGTAAGATTTTAGTCCTCCAAAACGACATCGTATGCAACAATTTACTCGATAAGGGTTTATCATGATAAGAGTCGTCGCCCGCACTTACCGGGTAAGACTCCTGGTCCTTATCTCGCTGTTACCGGATAAGATTCTTGGTCATTACCATATTAATCCGGTGAGGTAATGTTACTTGGTACGCACTTACCCGGGTAAGAGTTTGGTAAACGGCCATGAGTTTTTTATCGTTTCATATGACCAATTAAAAATGACTATTATGTTCTTATATTTACTCTAATCTATATCATCCCATTGTAATGAACGTCACCACTGCCACCAATCGTCGCCACCTTCATCCCTACCACCATCGTTATCATCGTCGCCACCAACGTCACTAATTCACTACAACCACCGCGATTGCCACCATCGACACTACCACCAACTCCACCACCACTAGTGTTGTCGTCACCACTGTCACTAATTAATATTATTATTAATTTTATCATATTATGTTGTTTATTTATAAATTAAGTAATTTATAGAAAAAATTATAAAAAATTATAAAAATAATTAAATTACATTTTATTAATCGATTATTACAAACAAACGTTTTTAACATTTTTTAAAATCTTATTACATACAATCCTACGAAATCCCGTGAAATTTCGAACAGTCCCTAAGGATTTCAAAATCCTATGTTTGAAGGATTTCAATTAAATTCTTGGATTTCAAATTCAGACAATCGAACAAACCAAACATGGGATTGAAATGAATTTGAAATACAAATCCCCCAAATCCATTACATTATTTCAAATCAAACGAGACCTCAAAATTACATCGATTGAACTTGAACAAAAAAGAAAACTAGTTAATTTTGAGTAACCGTGAGTTTCCGGCCCAACTTATACTGACCGACTAATCCCTAGGTGATCACGACACCTAGAATCATCGCAGGTGAACCTCCATTGTTACAAGGGTTCTAATGGCTTTTGGATTCGAACAGTTTATAACTAATCAAACATGGTATTCAATAAGATAAAAATTAAGCTAGCTTATGAAAGGCATCCTGATACGTGATTTTACCGACACAAATCACACAACGACACCTTCGGTTTTGCGACGGCGAGATCGGAATATGGCGGCATTCTGGAGTTCGGCGTCAGAGATGGTGGCGTCGGAGAACTTATCTCCGACGGCAACGGTGGTGGCGGATTTGATGTGGTGGTCCAAGTTAGTTGTCGCCTGTCGCCTGTCGGTGGTTTTGACGGTGACTTCTCTTTTGTCGTGAAGCAACCAACGGAATAATCGAAGGTTTCCGTTGATGTGACCATATGGTCCATATTTAATGGTTGTCAAATTTAAAATTAATAAAATAAAGAATTTATTTATTTAATAATTAATAAATTTGGTCCTTGTGGTTTGTTATTTATAACACTTTTGGTCCCTACAGTTTTGATCTATTGTGATATGTAAAAACGACCGAATTTAGCCCTTTTTTCTAACGGTCGTTAGAATAACCGATTAAGTCAGGAGTATTTCAGACTTTTCAAGTTTTTTTTTAATTATTTTTCTTTAAAAATTATAATTAATTACGACTAGGCATCAGTCATCACCTCGAGCACAAGACCAAAATTGTAATTTACTCTGCGGTCAAATAAAACAGAACAGATAAACAGTTAACTAACCTACTTAATTATAGTTCCGTACGACGAAACCTTCCACTGGCAGACGGTCGTGTTTTTCACAGGATTTACTTTCGTACACCATCCAAATTATTTTTCTTTCCAATAATAACTGTTCAAAAATATTTATAAGTTTACGACATTATAAATTCTTTAATTAAAAGAAATGGACCACTGTTTTAATAAATGTCGTTGTACTTGTTTTTAATATAACGAAAAACGACAAACCAACATCACTCGTAATTAAACCTGCATTTGGTTGTCACATGTGGATTAACCTGTAACAACAATATGCATTAATACTGGTTTTTTTGCCTTTTGATAAGGCTGCAAAAATAACATTAATAACAAGATCTACTTAAGGTTGTATATCTGTCTTTTTATGTGTTCATTTGTTTATTTATTGCATGCTACAACTACTCACAAAAAAAGGTTGGTTACAGATTTCTTAAAATTTTATGAGGTTTAAACACTTTCAAGAAGTACACTGAAGACTTGTAATGCCTACCCATAACTCCTACCTTACAACTGTCTAACGTGGTCCATTATATATCATGAACATTTTATCAAAGAGTTCCACACTTTCGATCTGGTTTAAGCTTTGATTTAAAATATATACTGATTGTCCACTGAATGAGAGAAAACTGTCGAAATTGTGCAAGACAACCAAAAATCAAAGTCTTCTCCCAAATAGTTAGAAGGTGCAGTCCACCCATCTGTCTCGAGTCGTTCTGATATGATTTTTGTAATAAATAGAAGTACTTAAATTTTCATAAATTATGGAAAAACTTATTCCAAAATAAAAATTATAATCAAGTCAAATTATAAAAAGAAGCTGTTTGTTTTTACATAATACAATTAGTTCATTTTCTCAGAAGCCCAAATTTTCATTCCATGTTAAACTGGGGGAAATGAAAATTCATTCTCATTTGTTTGTCTGAACCAAACACCCCTTTAGTTTTTGACCATACTTTGACCGTCTCATCATTATTTGGTCATTGACTTGGAAAAATGGGATTAGACTGATCCTATAAGCCCAGATGATATGTCTCGGTCTAGATTCAGTCAATAATCGTTTATACATTTCTAATTTTAAGTTGTGGTTCGACTCTCTGTCATTACTAAAGTGTAATTTATATAACGGATAAGTCATTAGATTGTCACAAAAAATACATCATTATTTTAAAAATTCTGTTGATTTTTTAACATTAATTAAAAAATCTATCAATCAGATTCTTAGAACATCTCCATATGTTTTTCAAAATGGATAAAATAAGTATTTTGGATAAGTTTTTTGTTTCAATAAATTATCTAAAACCTTTTTTTAAAATGGAGAAAGCAGGAGAGAACTAGGGATGGTAATTTGCTCCGAACCCGATGGAGAACCTGGTTCATCCGACCCGAATGGGGACGGAGGTTCCTTGCTAAAATGGGTCCCGGGACCGGGATCCCCAGTAGATTCAAACCAAGGCCGGGGGATCCCCTGAAAAATAAACTTTATGCAGAAAATCATTTTTCTACATAATTTTTTTTGTAAGCTTTTGGTTATTTTAGAAACAGCTTTGTAAAATGGCTAAAAAGTGAAAATCATTTTATAAAATGATTATTTACGTAATTTTTTTTAATGTTGTAATCTCAAAAATGAAAAAAAGTTGTTGGAGTTAAAAAAAAGAGAGAAATATATTTTAATTTTAAATATTAGTTTTTGTTATAGGAAAAATAAAACACAACAGTAAATAAAGAGAATAAATCTCTAATTGTCATCAATCTATCATTTCTTTAAATAGAGATATGTTACATGTAGATAATGTATATCAATACTAACATATCTATAATATATTTTTGTCTTTTCATATCGTCATATATTTTTGACATTATCATTCTAACAATTTTTTTTTTTGAAGAATCCGTTAAAAATGATGTTGTATTTTCATAGTTACATGAGTTGCATCAGGTTAGAGGTCGTTTACCAAATGCTTACCAGGTAAGCATTTACCAGCAAGAGTCATCACCCTCACTTATTTTATTATGTAAATTTCCCGCCATCAAAATTGGTTATTTAAAAATATCTCTTACCCGGTGAGCACTAACCGGATATTATTTTAGTCCAGATAAGCGGCTTACACCATTTTGTAACCAACAATGAAAAAGTGACGCTCTTTGGTACACATGGATTTAGGCGTTTGAAGGTTCATTTTGGTTTTGGGGTGAGATTTTGAATAAATCATGAAATGCAAAGCATGCTACTACGACATGAGAGTTTGATGCTTGATGCTTCTCAGATGAAATCGAGATTTTAAAAAATGGGAAGAGAACGTGAAGAAGATGAATCAGAAAAGGCACAATTTCTTCGATGAATCCTATTGAGTATTGACAAATGCTGCTTCATCGACTTCTTCTCCGACAACTGAGCCTTTTTCCAGGTAATTTCTCTGTTTTCCGCTTCTCATATCGTCATCAAATCCGTAAATAAATCTGTTGTTGCATGAAAGTTACATTGGAATGTTTTTAGTGTTCTTCGTTCTACGAATCTGAAAATTGATATATTAGTTTCTGATTTGAGATCGATAATGTTTTTCTGTGCTAATTTTGAGATCGATAGTGTGTATATGCCTTTAAAATGTCAGTTGTATTGAAGGTGTTCAACATTTTGTCAAGTATTCTTTAGGAGGCGATAGGTTTAGTAGATTTGAAATATAAGTTGTGAGCCCAGAAAGTCATGAAGGGGATTATGTTTATCGCTTGGTTATTTCCTAGGCTAGAGCGAATTACAGCTAACGTTGTTGAGATTAAGTTATGTTTCTTCTTATAGGTTGTGCCATTTGTTTTTGGTTGACTATCCTTCTTGTCATATTCATTTGTTAGTTATATCAAACTGATGATTCCATGTTGTCTGGTGATTTTAGTTTCATCAAACATTTTGATGTATTTGTGATTTACTGGGGATCAGGAAGGTGACAAGACAAACATAATGAGTTACATAGTTAAGAGTGCACCCTCACAAATGTTACCCCTATCATTATAGATCGTCATAAGGGGGTTCAAGGGGGCTGCCCCTGGAGGCGGTCCCGCTGACCGTTCAACGGGCAGGGTAAAGTTTCCGAACATTCTGAGGGGAATTCAAAAGGTCAGAAACTTAGACCAAGTATGGAATCAGAAGCCTCAGAAGCTTCTGATTGAGCAGGCTTCTGACTCGGAGCTTTCGAGCCAGCCTCTGATCTGTTATTCAATCTTATCCACAAGCAGTTACACAGAGTACAACTGCTGTGCAGTTATATACTAACCGCCCAACTACCCTGTAATTGTTGATCTCTCGTATAAATATGTAAAACATTGAATCTCGGTGTATATATAGAACTTGATTTTACAGCCTTTAAGATAAGAGTAATCATTGGATTATCCCGATACGCAATTCATGGTATCAAATGCTTATATGGTCGAGTTAATGTGTTTGGAAAGCGAACTACACGTGATCCAATTGATTTATCTGGTCGTTTTATGATCTAGGAACCCTTGATATCTAACATATATTCACATAATCACATTATTAGATATTAAAATGACTGGATACTCTTATGATCACTAAAGCAAGGGTATTGTGAAACAAGTTCTTGGTTAGCTGCAAGTACATTTCTTTGTCAAAGGCAAGAAAAATGGAATTGTTTTATTCCAGTTAAATCATATGATCTGTACTAAAGGAGCGAATTTTGGAGCAACCAATAAAAAGTCTATCAGATGGTTTAACATTCATTGTGCTCATGAATTCATAACCCTTAGAAGCAATAGGAAGGTTATGGAGAACTGAAGGCAAACCCGACTTAAAAAGTCTATCAGATGGGCTACATACTTTGTTTCTATCAATGTCCTCATAAGTACTCTGCTGATACACGGATGTCCTATGTTGTGAACTTAATGCAAAAACAAGAGAAACTGCCAAGGGATAATTCAACAAGAAGGCCAAAAAACTAAATATATTTCTAATAGAAGGAAGTAGTAGCCGTGAGTCCATGAATAGTTTAGAAGAATCTTAAAGGCATAGTTTGATTTAGAATTGTCAAGAAAGATAAGAACTAGAGGCACCAGCTGGATGCCATGAACCATAAACAACCATACTAGAAATTTCTAAGGCAAACTCCAACATAAATAACAATATCTAATTATCTATCAAGATACATCTTATCCAGTTAAATCCTTACAACAAAGAGAATCCTTTGATTCTTCCCTCGAATTCTTCACCTATCTTTTTGTCAATAACCGCTAAATCCAAGAAAAAGAACACTATAAGAATGAAAACACACAACCTTCCATACCCTTCTCTTTCTCCAACACTTAGACACAGCCAAGTATGGGAGCTTCAACAAAAGAGAGAGGTGTGCTTAAATTGGTGCATCCAGGTAGGATTGTCGAGTATCACACAAGGTCAATAACAGCAGCCGAAATCATGAGGAAGAATCCCAGGCACAGCATCACACGGCCCGACTTCTTCGAAAATCCCCATATAGTCGTTAATCCTGAATCAGTTATGGTTCCTGGCCAAGTGTTCTACATCGTCCCTAACAAGACCATACATCGCTTGGTGAAGGCTAGATGTCAACAGTTTGACCGACCCTCTCCACAACAATACGAGTCTCCAAACACTAGTGATTATAAACAGGCCTCACCATCGAAAGCATTGGCAGGAAGTACACCTAAGCACCAGATTGGATCAAGTTCCTGTGATGACTCGCTGCCTGATCAGGCTGAGGAAACTACTCAATCATCTTTAGTAGAATATCAGACTTTTCAAGCTAGAGATTATTATCTTAATAGAAATGGCTCAGCAATGGCCATAACCACAAATTATGATCAACAACAGAAGAAAAGCTCAAATTTGAAATCGTGTCTGAAGAAGGTGGGCAGCATTCCAACATCCCCCAAACGAAGGGTGTCTTTCAACTTTAGTACAATGATCCAATATATTTGAAATGAAACTTCCCGTTGCCGAAAACCTTAAAACTCAGCACTCCAGTTCTGCAGAAAGCGGCATGTGATCATAGTCTTTATGTTCTGTAAGGTCACAGTAGTAGAACAGTACAATATATCCTTCTTTGGATCATAAAAGTTCAAATTTTGAGCTTAATGTTAAAGGTCAATTGGTCTTTGCCTGAGATTTTATGCTATTAGTCCTGTGAGAATATGTGGGACCGAAGGAAGTTCCATTATGAACCCATAACTGATTAGGAACCCGAGAACCGTCCACAACGTGCCACGTATCCCTCCTCAGGATGAATTTATTCATCCTGAATAACATATTTATGACGACTATAGAAGCGTTACTCATCATGAATCACATATTCATGATGAATAACACATCCATATTCCTAATGAATATGTCACGTGTCGTGTTGCAGGCGTTTCTCATCTTAATCAATTTTAGGTTCCTAATGGAACCTGCCCCATGTGGGATTACTCTCCAAAACATCCCTCAAGGAGAGAGAGAGGAGGTTCCAACATACATCCAGGAGAAATAGGCCAAGTCTAACCGATCTGGTACTCCAACAAGTTCAAACAATGACTAGCATTAACTACCGACGGAGAAAAAGTTAGACAAATCATATACAACCTTGGAGAAACAAGACAAAATCGAATTATATATGGACCGTAAATACCCAGATCAAAATTAAAACATAGACAAAATGATTCCTAAACAAATTGCTTCATTCTGTTCTCACCGTTACCTTAGAATCAGTTCTTTGTGAATTTCTTGATGGAGAGGTTGATCCCCTTGAAGAACTATGTCCAAAAAGGTTGAGTTTACTTATTTTCTTCGAAAACGAGCTCATAAATTTACGTGAGTTAGATTTCTCCATATTCATCTTCATGCATACATGTTCTTTCTCCAAATCATTTAATCTCATCCTTAACCGAGCCAGTTCAAGTTTCAGCTCCCGGTTTTCTCGTCTTAATGATGCATAGTTATCCTTCGGAGACATGGTGGTACTGAGAGCACCACTGTTGATCCGCCATGACTGGTGGTGCACCGGCAGCTTGTGGCTCTCACCAAGCTCTGAGCAGTACAAGGCATTTCTAAGTCTTAGCTGCTCGATGTATAGAACTTGGACGATTGATTGAAGTGGAAGCCGTTCGTTCTGTGCGGCATGTGCACCGGCTTCCGGTGAAAGCTTCTGGAAATCAATCAATTTGCAGAGCTTCTTTTTGTCTAGTTCTGATAAACCCTGATGAGCCTGCATTTATTGAGCTTAATTAAAAGCCCCTTTGATAAGGCTTTTGAAAAGCTACTTCACATAACTTTTCAATAAGTTTTTCACCCTTTTCCGGTTATACCCGTTGTGTTAGAATTGTGTAATCTAATACCGTTTACCGAACGCTTACCCAGGTAAGCGCTTATCAAGTCATGTTATCTTACCGGATGAATATGGCAAGGACCAAGAATCTTACCCTCTAAGAACAAGACAAGGAACACGAGTCTTACCCGGTAAGTGAAGACGACGACTCCTACCACGGTAAGAGCTTATTGGGTAAATTATTGCATATGATGCTATTTTGGTGGACTAAAATCTTACCCCTTAAGAAATAGTGTTGAAGTTTACCGGTAAGCACTTACCGGATAAGTTTTCGGTAAACGGCCTTTTAGTTTTTAACAAACATGACTAGTTTATCAGCTAGTTTATAAGCCAATAGCCAGCTGATCAGCTAGTTTGACAATCATAGCCTTAGAAAATCCTTGGTTTGACCTTAAGCGTCGAACTAAAGGGGAGAAGTATTTCTAGATAAGCGCTGATCGGATAAGATGCTCTGACTGGGTAAGCCTCTCCACTCTTACCGGGTCAACATCTCAATCAACAACATTTTTGGTAAACAACATTATCTCTTATTTGGTAAGAACTGCTTACTCGGTAAGAAGCTATAAGCACTTAGTAAGCAACCTGTAACTCTTTTTCTGGAACAGACGACATACCTTTAGGTAAACATCAATGGAGCGATAAAGCCCATCATGAACTGTACGAGCATGAGCCGGTAAGCTTTCTGCGATGGCTACAAACTTAGAAAGCTTAAGGTTTACATCAGGTGCTATCTCCGCGAGATAATTGTCAACCAGCTTTGAGACCTTGAATAATGCCGTTTCAGAGGGCGAATCAAGACCATCGGATTCAAAAACCGAACCATCCTGATCATCATCACTGCCGTCTTGCTGCGAGAAATTAACCAGGATCCTATGAACTGTATCGATATCAAATAAAGTGTCACCCGCATGCCGAAAAGATGGGATCAAAAGATCATCAAGTGTGGCTATATCTAACTGCGATCCAATTCGTCTCTCGAGATCAAGCCGACAAGCAACCGTACAATCGAGCATCACAGCACTTCGCAGCAGCCCGAAAAGAAAGCTTAAAGGCACTGCAAGTTTCTCAACCGGAAGCAGACTAACGATGGTTTCGACCACGAGTCTTTCGTGGTCACTCGATCCACCAGCCATGGCTACCTTCAGTTGACCATTCGGCTTTTTTGTCAACTCCTTCTGGGCGTAATTCATAAGTGATTCCCCGATACTTTCTGGTCGTACCCCACGGCATTTCATCGCAACGATGACTCTTTGGTACAAATCGATCCGAAGAATCGATAAATCTTTGATCCACCAATCTGCTTCGCACTTCTGTCTACTCATATGAAGTCTACCCGAGCTACTATACTCCAATCTTGAGAAACTTGACGCTATTTGCTCTACACACGCTTTCGATGCAACAGCATCGATGCATCGGCTAACGATTTTGAGCTCATCGGCTAAAGGAAGCAAGTTTTCACACTGATTCAACACTTCAACCGACATTTCGAGATTCTGGCAGACAACGTAGTTGAGATACTCGTCGGCACGGGATCCGAGGTTATTGTTCGAGAAATCCTCGTTCATTTCGAGGTAGTCGGAAACGCAACATAGCTGAGCAACATTCGACGGTGTGATCTCGAAATTGATACCGTAGCAGAATTTTGCTGCAAGTTCGAATGTTTCGCTGCCTCCAGGCAGGCAAAGAAGCTCGACTCGTGATATAGCCGGTTCCCGGTGTTCCGAGACCAGTTTTCGGATTCGCCCACTACGAGAGACGAGGGGAAACTGCACAAAACATCATCTGTTGTTGAATCAAGAACGTAAATTAAATTCTTACGACTTTTTTCTTCAGACAACATCTGCAACATTAGCATTAAAAATCAAACAATGATCACTGGTTTACGACAATATAGAACCGAACCTTATGTAACGCAAACGCAGTGCCATTCACTTCTATTGTTATATCACTCGGGACATCACGAAATATCCTGCAAAAACAACCCTTTTAAGTAACTGGTGATGATTGGATACTAAATAGGCCGTTTACCAAACGCTTACTCGGTAAGCGCTTGTGGGCAAGAGTTTATCGGGTAACATTTCCGACCATCAAAATGGATCGATGGTAAACGTTTATCACCTAGTAAGCTCTTACAACTTAGGAGTCACCACCCTCTCTTACCGGGTAAGACTCTGATCCTTACCTCTCGTCTTACCGGGTGACATTCTCGGACTTTTGCTATGCTCCCCCGGTAAAGTAATTGACTAGGTCTTAGGTGCTGTTTACTAAATGTCTACCGAGTAAGCGTTTACCGGCAAGAGAAATTATCCTCACTTACTTTATCATGTAACATTCTCGACCATCAAAATGACTTTTGGTAAGTGTTTTAAACCCAGTAAGCACTTACTGGGTAAGAATCTTTTCCCTCACTTATCGGGTAAGATCCTTGTTACGTCTCTTAATCGGTAAGATTCTTGGTCCTTGTCATGCAGTGATATCGGTAAATGCTTACCCGGTAATTCTTTAGTAAACATCACCTAAGCCTATGTAATATATCAGAATTAGAAAGAAATAACAAGGCTTGGGCCTTTGGGGCTCCTCCTCATACGGTTCTAGTCCCGCAAGGTCATTGAGGATTTTTCTAGTTCTCCAAAGCCACACCGGACGCACCATTAACCAAATAACATTCACTAGAACCAAACCGAACCAACGTAAATTGAGTAATAGATCGTAAAAATACATGGAACCACTTTAAATTACTCTCCAAAAAAGCCATCAAGGAAAGAAGGAAGCTTCTAAATGATCAAAATCTAAATAGATGTAAAACTCTAACACCAAATGCCCGACAATCACAAATTGTTTCAGTGTTTGAGAGGGGACTCGACGAGCACATATTGCTTCACAGTGTCGAGTTTATAGAATAGTAGACTTGTTCTGATACCATGTAAAAATATATAGAACCACTTACCATTCATTATATCGATGGCGCGAGGTCTTGGCCAAGGTGAGCTGGGGTTGGTGATGGTCCATGAAAAGATGCAGAGAGAAATAGGAACTCAGAAGAAGAAGAAGAAGAGTAGTAGTAATATTGAAGTATGGTTTAGTGTGTGTGGGGTTAACAAGTAAGATAGAGGGGGGAGGGGGACATAACCCCATATGGAGGATTTTCCTGTTTTATGACCATTTCTTTTGTCAAAATATGCAAAACCATTAGATTGCAATCGTCCAAACTAATTGGCTGGTGGTAGGGTAATTACCCTTTTCTTAACTTCCATCGCTGTATCCGTAAAACTTCTACAGTTAGCTTAACTGACAATAAGATTTAAGTATTTGTTTTTTTTTTCCTCCAGGTGTCACCGGTTCGAGTCCTGTAAGACCACTAGAGATTTTCCTGACCTTTTTTCAGGTAGTTGAGGTAAGATGGGTGCAAACTGACTTAGACACTCATGGTTAATAAAAAAGATATGTGAAAGTTATGGAAAAGGGTAGTGTAGTTATTACTTTTTTTTTAATTAACTAAATGATGATTTTATGTAAAAAGTAGAATTGAAAAATAGACAGTTTTGCATTCCTCCTTTTCTTTGGTACCCTTTACAGTATTTCTATGTTGATCTTTTAAAACTTTCATCAAATTTGAAAAAGTATGAGATAGAATGTGAAATTTTCTAAATTTAAGAGAGTTCTCAAAAAATTATCACCACGATAGAGATTATTACATCTTTTTTTATTAATCTGTATATCCAACCCGCTAATTGATTTGACTAATCCCAGAGCGACCACTTGCTTTACGGGTAGCCTGGAGTCGCCACATTTGAACCTCCGTGGTCACAATGAGATCTTTTTAAAGTATATAATATTTATATACGACAAATAAAACAAGTAAACTCACAATCTCTCCTCATCTTTAATGAAGTTTGAAACTTGACCGAGTCCAAGGACTTTATAATATTGTATAGAGTAGTTTTGGATCTATGAATATAATTGAAGTGCGTAGTCGTCTTTATAAAGTGTTGTTTAAGTAATTAACAAAACCCAATAAAAAGAATTGAAGAAAACAAAGAAAAGACGGTGACATCCGAAATCAAAGCAAATAAAGGAAGGGAGAGAATAGTAATTTTGTCCGTTTATGGGGGAGGAAAAGTCCAAAAAAATGAAGGTTGTTATATGGATTTGACAAGTTTCACCTTGTGTCCTCATTGCTCATTTAGAGCATCTTCCATCATCATCTCATTTTCACATCAAAATCGTTATAGCCTTTGCGGAAATTGTAATCTTATTAGGTAACGGTAAGAAACATAATAGATATCGAGAATCTTATTCGATAAGTGTATGAAAAGACTTTTAAAAGTCGTTTATCAAACACTTATCCGGTAAATGCTTACCGGTAAAATTTACACTATCGTTTACTTACCGGGTAAGATTTTAGTCTACGAAAACGGTATCGTATGCAACAATTTACTCGGTAAGCGCTTACCATGGTAAGAGTCGTCGCCCCCACTTATCGGGTAAGACTCTTGGTTCTTGTCTCGCTTTTACCGGGTAAGATTCTTGGTCCTTACCATATTTATCTGGTAAGGTAATGTGACTTGGTGTTTACTTATCCGAGTAAGCGTTTGGTAAATGACCCCTTAGTCGCTTACCAATATTCCATTTTTGATGATCAAGAGTATTTTTTGATAAGGTATGTGAAAATGATGATTCTTACTAGTAGTATTATAACATTGATAGAGACAAAGAATAAAATAAACATTAAAATCGAGATATATATTGCTGCATTGCGCGAGTACCCTTCTAGTAAAAAGAAATATCATTACTTGCACATGTAAAACCGTTTCTGTATTATATATTCTTTCAAGATTTTAAAAATAAAGATACAAAATTAAAAGCAACAATCGTACTCCAAATTTACCAAACTTGAATGTCGATATCCATAAAACGCCATTTTGGATCAAGTAATCAACGGGTCTCGCTCTATTTGCATGGTGAGAAAACAAACCATCAAATGAAACAAACCGTATAATTTCAGATAACGGAAATAAGTAGACGTAATGATAGAAAAGCTTCTCAAATTGCGGATATAAAAATTGTTAAAGCAAGGGCAAAAAGGTCAAAACACTTTGACTATGCTCAAAACAACTTTTCTTCAAATGATGCCTTTCGGCTTTCACCGTGAATGAAGTAAAGTATGTGTGCTAGTAAATTATGATTAAAAAAGTAGAGGGTAAAAGGCAACATTTTCAAAAGTAGACGTAGGCTAAATGACTTTTTTGATAACTCTAAATGATTGCCCACCCAACGGGAAAACCGCGCAACCATTCAACCCAATCTGCTAACAACTCAATTAAATCTAATATGTTAAACTGTCAACCCGTTAAACCGACAAACCATCAATTAAAGGGGTTGAAATTGGGTTGGTCTGGTTCAACGCAACCCCGTTAATCCGCCACTAATATATACAACTTCGATAAAATTTTATTTATATCTGTATAGAGATGAATGCTCAAACGAGAACGCTAACTATTTAAGAAAACAAGAAAAAAAGTCGTTAATGTACAAAATCACATGTGATTTTACATTAACGTCAAAAAAAATGGAACCGAACTACTTTTGAACCTGTATGATTTTGTATGTGATATATATATATATATATATATATATATATATATATATATATATAGAACACCCTCATTTCACAAGAATGCAAGAACAACATTTTATCAATAGACAATCACATGTGATACTATTATTCCATCACATATGATACACATGTGATACTGAGTCAGAGACGTGGGTGATTTTCGGCTCGATCTTGGTTGCGGGCCAAGTCGCCCTTACACCACTAAGCCCCCTCACATATATTATCACATGTGATAAGAATGTTCTTGATATAATACTATAATTTATCAAGACCATCACTTGACGCCGACAACCTTTGGCGCGACCTAAGTCGTAGAACACGTCTTCCACATACCATCACGTCCCCTCACGCGTATTATCGCATGTGATAAGGGTGTTATCTCATTCTCATAAAATGGAGGTGTACTCGTTTGAACCTCCACCTATATATATATATATATATATATGTATGTGTGTGTGTGTGTGTGTCTGTGTCTGAATTATGTATGATTTTGTACATTAACGACTTTTTTCTTTTTTTTAAATATTTAGCGTTTTCGTTTGAACCTGCCTCTATATATATAATATACTAGTTTATTATATTATATATCTATCTTAATTATATTTATTATATATATTAATAATGTGTAAAATATTATATAATGTATTTATTTTTAGCTAAATGTATAAGTCACGAAAAGTGATTCACCACCAAAGAATGATGGAAAAAAAAGACCCCCTCACTTGATGTTGTATTTTGGTGGAAAAAAATGCTAGTAGTTATAGCATTTCACTATGACATTATGTTTATAAGATGCTTAAAATGTCTAAGCGTCATAACATGATACTTTTTAGGACGAAACAAGAGAAATGTCATATCTATATATTTTAAAAGCGTCCTAATATGATACTTTTGAAAGTGTTACAATATATTTATAAAATGTTTTTGGTTGTCTTTAACAATTTTTTCGGACGTTTTAAAAATAAAGTATCGTATTCGTTATACGACACTATTTGAAAAGTATCATATGACACAAGTATCCTATAAATAGACGAGTTTACATGACACTTCTCAAAGCAATTCTATAAAATAATTAATACGACACTTTATTCTAAAAAAAACTTTTTGAAATGCCCAAGAACGTTCTATAAACCAATTATAACCTTTTTAGATATGACGTTTTATAATCTGGTTCTATAAGCTTAAGTCTTATGACATATTTCATTCATCAGATTCATATAACTACTAACCCGCCAACCCAATCCGCATCAACCCGCAAGGGTTGGGTTATACTTTTGAATGAGTTGGACTGAGTTAAGATTTTTGAAACCGTCACAATTGAGTTGGGTCGTAAAAATGTCGTAAACCGTCCAACTCATCATGTGTACATCCCTAACTCCAAATGGTCAAAGTAGGGGGTAAAAGGAAACATTTTCAAAAGTAGAGGTAGGTTACATAACATTTTTGATAATTTTAAATGATTACCCACCCAACTCCAAATGGGCTAGCTGGGCTGGTAGGGTCATGTTAGCTCATTGGGGCCCGTTGAGCCCTCACCTTAATTATGATGATGGCCATTGCATGATGACTTCCCCCACCCCATTATTTTATTTATTTATTATTTTATTTATTATGTAAATAAGAACAAAAAGATTTATTTGGGTCAAAGTCAACCAAATCTCACCATTTTCCATTCGAGTTTTAATGCAAATCAAGCCAAGGACCACATGTATCAAAGGGTATTTGAAATACATTTGTTTTCTATATTTATATAAATTTTATTTGAATTAATTTTTTTAAAATCATTGTTGATATTTTAAAGAACCAGGGTTTTAACGACGCATTTTTGTAGCATTATGGTGTGGCCTTGCCGTCACGTTAAACCCGTGACGAGACTCTAAGAGGTAGCTTGCAGTATGACGTTTTACAACAGGTTATTTTCAGTACACGAATGGGTTTTTTTTTTTTTTTACTTTATTTTTAGTTTATGAAATATTGAATTAAATATTAATGATTCTAATTATTAACTGAGAGCGGGAATTTATTATCCATAAGTTGATGTCAGTCAAGGAAGATTTTGAATTCAATTTCGATGACGAAAATAATTGATGAAGATTATATGGAGTTATAGTTTTTATTTATTTATAAAATATATCTGATCTACAAATCCATAATGTTTGTGATATTAACATTTTTGAATGATTACCGTACTATTGAAGTTAAAAGGTCTCTTTAACACATGCACACATATATAGATACATATGTGTGTATATATAATTAGAATCGTGTTAGAATTTTTTTTTTAATTTTATGTGAACGTGAGAACAAAGGAATTTATGTAACGGTAGACCCGAGATTTTTATCAAGTGGGTCCACCTTTAAGATGAATCAACGGTCTGCTAAGTGTCTGGTTTGTGCTTTTAGCTGAATTTCACTGTTTCGAGAAACTTTTTAAGCTTTTTTTGGTTAATTCAAGTGTTTAAGCTTTTTGATTGATTTCAAAAGACTTTTTCGGGGTTTTTTTTGGTTGATTTCGGAGAGACTTTTTCGGTTTTTTGGTTAATGCCTCTTATATTTCCTAATATCCCATAACATCCTTAAAGTTTAACATGTGCACCAAGAAAGATTTACTTGCAAAAATTGGTTGAGCAGGTGCACGAGACGCTACTAGGGCCTTTGTAGGTCCGCCCCTTAATGTACTATATTATGTGAAGATTGTAATAGTCACATAACTTTTACATGAAGTCAAAGGTTACATTCACACGGTATCAGAATTATCTCATAGCTCTCACGAGAACATTTTCACATAGTTTAAAGATACTTTTACTTGTTCTCACATTCTCACGAACATCAGTTGTTTTCACCAGAAACCAACCTCATACATACATTCGCAAACGCATCTGAAGCAGCAAAACTTGTCTAACTGCACATATTAACCAAAATTCAACTCAGTTCAGTTGTATTCGAACCATGGTTACAAGTCACAATGAGCACGATGGGCCAAAAAAAAAAAAAAGAATACTCGAAGCTAATCATATTCATGTCACATTGTGTGGTAGTGTACTATATGTATCCTCTCAATTGCTTTTCATTTGAAGTGAGCATGCCCACAAAAAGGACTTATTGCTTTCATGACTTCAAATGCCCAATTTCAAGTAAAGAATTAATGAAAGCAACACTTCTATATACTACATGTTTTTGGACATCCGTCTGTGGTCACTATTAGTTTGAATACAAGTAATTTGTCTAGTATGCACATGCACATAATATGTACATAACCTAAAGAACATCTGCAACTACTTGTATGTATATATGCATACCGTATATATAAATAGTTATTAGGGTGTTCTTCAGTTTTTCATATATGTATGTGTAGAGAAATATGGTATGATACATATAAAAAATGCAAAAGAAAATGATGGAAGCAAGAAAGAAAAGGGAAATCATGCAAAGTAGACTCCATGAGAATAAGAACCACAGTAGGTAGGTTTGACTTGTAGAGTAGAATACAAGGCATCATTAAAGTCAAAAAGGTTTCCAAAAAGAAGGGGTGTGTCTGTAATTTCTTTATCCAAAAGGGCCAAAAGTGACTTTCTTTTCTTTTTATCCTTAAAGGGAGGATTTTACTTCGGAAATTTATTGATTGATAAGTTCCAAAAAATATCAATCAGAGCATGCGCAAAATATTTAAAAAGCAACTAAAATAAGTTTATAATTTATTTTTTTCATTTATATATTAAAAATACATTATACTTTTTTGTTAACTCCATCCATTATATTATTTTGAATAATTAAAAGGGTGTTTGTATAATATAGCGAGATATATCTCAAATTTTAATGTTTTGTTTTATTATTTATATTGTCGATATAATACAGTTTTTAGTAGTTTTGAGGAAGCAAAAATGTTTTTATTTTTGAATAAAATATAAATTTAAAGATATCATAAAAATTTGGAAAAAATATATATCGATATTAATATGAAATTTACTATTTAAAGTTCTCGTTTTTTTTGTGCAATTTTTTTAATTTAATATTTTATTTATAATTTAATTTAAATTTAATCACGAAGTAATTTATTTATCGTTTAATAATATATTTTTATAAAGATAATAATTAAGTTTTTTTTAATAATTAATGATTATCTTAATTATATTTTAATTTTTTTATATTCAAAATGAGATGTCTATCCCGTATTTGATTATGTTTATCTATAGTTAGTTACACAAATTGAAAAATGAGGCTTTAATAAGTTGTACTTACGCATAATTTACTTGTAATCTTGAATTTTAAGTAATATGCATCAATAAACAGTACTTTGTGCATAGAAAATGGTTTTTAAGAGTTTTTATCAAATGTTTTATAATATAGTATAGATATAGTAGCGTTTGCTTTTTAAGAAAAATGGTAAAAATATAGAGATAAATTAGAAAATAATGCAAAAAGAGGACAAATATTTTGGGGTTCTCAAATCTAAGTTCTCAATTTCGTTTGGCATCGATTTTCAAAACTCGAGGTTCTCCATTGAGTCTCATCGAGCATATTGAGCAGGTCGAGCCTCGTCAAATAGTGAGCAACACCTTGAACAGATCAAGCAAATCAAAAAGGGTTTTTCATCGTTTTAAGATTGATAAAAAGGATAAAGAAAAAGAGTCGCTAAGGGGCCGTTTACCAAACACTTACCCAATAAACGTTTATCGGTAAAATTTTAATACTAAAATTTACTACCAGGTAAGATTTTAATCCACAAAAACGGTATCATATGCAACAATTTACTAAGTAAGCGTTTACCGCGGTAAAAATCATCGCCCTCACTTACAGGGTAAGACTCTTGGTCTTTGTCTCGCTCTTACCGGGATAAGATTTTTGATTCTTACAATATTCATCCGGTAAGATAATGTGACTTGGTGTTCACTTACCCGAATAAACGTTTGATAAACGACCTCTTAAGCCTCTCCCTTTTTTGATTATTCTTTAACAAAAACATAAACAAAGTAAGACTTTTGAAAGCTTTTATAGGTCTTTAGAAATTGGTCTGACACAATAATTCTTTTCAGTTATACTTTCAAATAAAAAGAGTTAGGGGCTGTTTACCAAACGCTTATCTGGGTAAACGGGTTTACTAAGTCACATTACCTTATCGGATGAATATGATAAGGACCAAGAATCTTACTCGGTAGACAAGGACAAAGAGTCTTACCCGGTAAGTGAGGACGATGACTCTTACCACGATATAGCACTTACCAGGTAAATTGTTGAATACGATGTTATTTTGGTGGACTAAAATCTTACTCGTTAAGTAAATGATATAGTTAAATTTTACCGGTAAGTACTTATCGGGTAAGTATTTGGTAAACGACCCCTTACTGTATATATATAAAGACTGAATCATTTCAAGCCTGCACATGAACCTTGTAAGGACATCCAATGGGCCAACTTCAGGGTGCTTAATCACGTGACTTAATGTCGACTTCCACATGACCCTTGCTTAATCAAATTTGTTAAGGTATCAACATCAAGTTTCCTTGCTCGTTGTCGTATTATATTTCATTCATGGAAGTTAAAACAATTTTAGTAAAGAGTTGTTTTGCAGTTGCTGAATGGGTTGGTGCAAAACAATTAAGTGGTCAGAATGATTAAGAGGCTCTCATGATATAATGTAAAATGAAATAGAATTGTTTAATAATTATTTATGATGAAATTAAGACGCTGAATGGTTAAGGGAGATCCATGATACAAAATCATTTAGAGGGTTTTAAAACCATTAGAAGACGGATTTTTTTTTTGTCAAACATGATTCACCTCTTAACGATTCAGATGCTGCCTCTTAATGGAACTATTAAGAGATAAACAAACAACCCTAAAAATCGATTGGAGTAAGAGCACATAGATGTCCCTAGAAATAACAACAATATGGTTGTCTTGTATAAATCAGATATAAATGAAAACAACATATATAAAGGTGAAATGATAGTAGAAACATTTAGAAGAAACCCCATACACGACCATATAAACATAAGCTCAAACATGCCAAAGGGTAATTCAGGTATTTTTAAAAAATAATTATCCGTTCATTCTTTTATATATCTAGTTTTTATTTTAAAAAGAAACCCAAAAAGATCGGTTAGGACATGTTAGAGACGAGCATCGTCTGTCTAGATTTTGTCCGAAAATTTTGGCCAAGAACCGTTAGAATCCGACCCAGTTTTTTTTGCCTAAAAAGACTGGTCTTTTCAGAACCGGTCCTTGTACAACTCTAGAAGTATCTGGACAAAGGTTCAAACCTTCCCAAAAGTGAAAAATGTACATGAGTATTTGCCGTATATAAAATATTATATACATAAACGTCATCCTTCTAAATTACATGATTTGTATTTGACATTCTTAGACATTCACAAATGTCAAATGCAAGCTCCGTTACATAAATATTAACTATGTATAGTACACTCGTAGACCTTTTCCTTGCGCTTGTCGCTTCCGGCCTTATCGTCCTCTGAGTTATACATCACTAGTTAGCCACTAAGCTTAGTGAGTTTCATGGTTTTCATGCGAAAAACATTTTCAAACATATCATGTGAAATCATGCATGTGAGAACATGTGGAACCCCAAATTTACTCACCAAAAGAGCACTTTAGAAAATAACAGAGGTTCCGACATATATAGAGGTGAAATGGACCAAGTCTAGCCGATGTGGGACCAAAACAACACCCCTCCAACGGAGGCTAGCCATGCACAAATTGTCCAAGAGTGGTAGACCCTGCATCGCCTCTGATACCATGTAAGAATATGTGGAACCTCCGTGTTACTCCACAAAAGAGTTAAGGGAGAAAGAAGGGAGGTTCCGACATATATAGAGGCGAAATAGTTCAAGTCTAACCGATATGAGAGTCGAACAATACCATCTGAGACATCAACTTGTCTTTTATTACATTAAAACACAACATCATGCATGCAAACATTTGATTAAAAGATCATAACATTTTTTTACAAAACAAGTACGCATATAAACTTCACAGTTTTTCATACGTATCTTCGACATACTTTTTCATGAAATCTCAAACTTAACATACGGTATGTTGTGCATCACCTCATCTCATTCGACACAACACAAAGGTTTTGTCATGTACTAGTCCTACTTTACGCCACACATTGTCATTATTATTGGCATCCCGACATGAGAACCCACACACATTCTAAAAACCATTTTCATGCATAACATGCTTTCACACTAAAATGCTTTTAGGGTACGGTTGATACATTGAATATGACAGAACAACACAAGGATCACTATTTCCATGTTTGGCAAAACTTTTAACCCCATGGAACAAGGTGAAACAAGTCTATATTTTACCAATATATCCTTGTAATAAACCTTAATCATCTCCTAAAACATCAAATACGTCTTTCTATTTACATTTTTATTCATTCTTTAAATTTTATTATTGTATTTTAACATTTTTAAAGTTTCACGTTACTATCCTCCAAATATTATTTTTATACGTTTTCTATATTTTGATTGATTTATGTAATTTCTTATATAGTAATAATAAAAAATAATATAAAAAAAGTATAAAACAAAAATTGAAAATTAATAAACTTCATATTTTGGTGTCATTTTCATCGTCTTGACAAAAACTTTTTAATAATATATTTTATTATAAACATATTTATTTTATTATAATTTAATAAATTACATAAACTAATCAAAATACATAAACAATTTCCTGAGGGGTAAATTGATCATTTTAAGTCTTGCCCGGTCATGTCTTACCAAACACTGAACAACTGTTATTTCCTATCCTATCCTATCCTATTTTATCGTGGATACCAAAGACACCCTTAGTATGCTCGATAAACTATAAAAGTGTAAACACATAGCATGCATTTTCATCTTTCAAAATATTGAAAACATCATAGGCACGTATCCTAGTCCAATAAATCGCATGAAACTCACCTTATCATGTAGGTCTCATAAACTTGCTTGAAACAACACCTGCATATATTACAGAACATGCTTACCGAGTGTCAAAACATACATAAATATCATTTTCCGTACAAAAACCACATAAACCGCATTAATGATTTTTTTTTCGTATCATGTCGTGAATTTATCTTTTTCATTTTTACAGTTGGGTATTGATCAATCGGGGTTGTCCCAATCTTTTTGGAGGCCCTGTTACACGTGTACTAAAATTATAGATCGTATGAAATGAGTAATAAACAAAATTAAATATAAAATTTCATATTATATTTAAAGTCTTACAACTTAAAACAACAAAAATGTTTAAAAATGTAAAGTGAGAAGAATATCAAAGAGTCGTTTTTGTTATTGATCGGTAAATTCTGAAATTAAATAGTAGCTTTTGATTTTGAAAGAAATTAGATAGGTAGATGGGTTCATAAGTTGGGTTATGTAAATCCAAACTCCAAGCACAAGTAACAGTGGGCCCTATTTAAAAACCAAGATCTTACATGCTAATAGACCGTCCTGGATCAATGCATCCACATTATAGTTGTAAATTGTATTTTACTCGTTTACATAATTATATAATTTTTAAAAAAAATGGATACACACAATTGGGTGTTAGAAAATCCTCTCTACCCTACACATTAGCTATGTAAGAACATACATGGACACTGGGGCAACTTCATTTGGTTTTATCACGTGACCTAACATTGGCTTCCACGTGACCATGCGTTAATCAAATTTGTTGAAGTGTTAACATCAAATGTTCCTATCTCACAATTTGATTGTTAAGACCACCTTAAATCATGCTCTCATTCTTAGAATAATTGAAGCTTACTTATCTAACATACACAAGTTGCTAGACATGAAAACTAGACTTATCTAACGGGTCAACAAATATCTAGGTGTTTTTTTGCACTTCCTCAATTTCATGTGAAAAAGACAGTTAAAATCTTAACTGTAGTGTCACATCAACAAAATATCACACGTAAACTGTCGTGCTTAATCAAAAACGACAAATGAATACCCGTTTTTAGTACAACTCAGTAAGCATACAAACTAAGGGGGAAGTTTAATTAGGAACCGTAAATGTTCTGAGATGCGTGAAAACCAAGTATTCATGAATTACTCATCATGAATATACCTAAATGTTCATGAATATCATGCGTTTTGTTATTCATGAGACATGATATCTATCAGGAATAACTATCACAATATTTATCATGAATAATTCATTAATAATTGATTCTCACGGTTCTCATGATTCTCAGATGAACCTACTCATACAAAAAGACATCAAAGCCCTAGAATTTACCAGGATGGTAACACAATGTAACTTTATGTTAGAATGTTAATTCCTAGTAACATGAAATAGTGCTTCTAGAAGTTGAATGAAGTACATATTTATCGATAACTATTTGACATCTAAAGAGTGAGAATAGGCCAATATAAGTTGCTAGTAGTTGAATGTAGATAAATATTTGACATCTAGAAGTTGAATGTAGTACATACTTATCAATGCAAACTATCTGACATCTAAAGAGAAACCGAACCAAACATACCCTGTATATTCCGCTCACAAGTAGGGTCTAAAAGCGGTAAAGATGTAGGCAGACCTTACCTCAACCACTTGGATCGAGAGGCTGTTTCCGTGAAGACCCCTGCTTGTGCACGATGCAAAGGTGTGTGCAAGAAGGCAAAAAGATGGGTAAATAAAACAGGCAATTGCAATTCATTGGTGTGTGTAAGCTACAAGAGGGAGAGTAGGATAATTTAAATTGTGGGTACCTCTCATATTGGAGCTTGATCGCTTTGGTCTTCTCTGGTAGCAATACCTACATCATCTTCATCAAGAGAAGGAGATGGAAGATCCGGACTTCCATTAGCAGGGCTAGATTGATTTCGGGAAGCAATAGAAGAAACTACTGCCAGCTGTCCACGTAAAAGCCTATATATGATGTTTCGGTTAATGACTGGCTTCACTAACTCGAGCTGGTGTCTTGAAGTATGCTTCTGGTTAAACCTGCCTGGAAGATCCGAAGATGTGTTGTAACAATCTCCACAAAGGTCATAACCACAGCTTTCTGTACAATCTTTGCAACGATACCTATCCCCAATTATTGGACACATCTGTAAAAACGCATGCAACAAGATAGAATACAAGTCTGTTAGCCACAGGCTGCACAAGATTGGATTATGATTGTGTTTTGATGTGGAGAAAGAGTCTTCTTTTGTTGTATAAGGTGAACTTTAATCAAACAATGCGTTTAGTACTCGGATGGGACTAGATACGACTGGACAGGCAAGACTGAGGTAAGATGGTGAAAGAATTGTGGAATGTTTTAGGGTTTAAATATGACATGGGTAGTTTAATAATTTATCTGGCTTATCCTATCTCCCTTGTTTTTGTTCCACCTATTTTGGTGGGATAGAAAAAAATGCATTTTTGTTCCATTCAGTCATGTCCGGTTCAAAAGAGCAATTGGGTTGAAAAAAAAAGGTAAAGAATTTCTAATCATCTTGTGATCCTATAATGAAAATGAACATAGTTATTGAAATTGAAATGGGAAAAGAGAGGATAGAGAATCTGTTAATAAGTTTATCTGTATCCGAGGAATCTACTCGATTTGTACTATAACACCTTGTTTTGACTGTAGCGCACTATGTATCATTTGATCCCTGTCTAATTCGCACCAAACGTAAGACAACAAGTTTTTGTTTTGTTTTGCACTTATTGTCCAAAATTCAAAATGCATCCTAAGGAGCCATCGTCGTATCCATGTTTTCATCAAGTAATTTGCCAGGGTAAATAGAAAATTGTTTTACAGCCTCCCAAAGTTATGGGTAGCCAAAAACAGGCATATTAGTTATAGGCATGGCTGCATGGGACATTCCATGCATATGATGAATGGACAAACACAATGAAGTAATACCATATGCAGAAGATGCACATTCTTACTAAGGTTATATGGGAGTTAAAATTTAAGAGATACAGCAATCATGTCTATTTACATATCATCAAGACTATTGATTCGTGCTATGTACATTTATCTACAAAGGAATGTGATGTTCTAACAAAAATGTGAATAACTTTACAGGCGGTAACCATTCAGAAAATTTACTGCATCGTGTATTTCTTGTAGTAAATCATTACTCATTTGGCTATAAAGTCAGACTAGTTTGTAAATGTCAGTTCCATTGTACTACTGTTGTAGGACATACTGGAAAAGAACAAAAGATGGAAGAAGAAACTAGAATTAAAAAGAACTACTAAATTACTAGTTCGTAGTTCATTTATCTATTAGTCCGAACTGGATACACGCATACAGCTTGGAGTTAGAAGATAAAAAATTTAATAACCAAGAAATGGTTGAGAAACTATAGGAGTCCTATGGCTATTGGTCATACAACAGAGGCTGAGAATCAAAGAATTTCTGTCTATGAGGATACATTATTTTCGTGATGTCTTTAAAGATAACAATGGTTATCAGTAGAAGGCCATACAACAGAAAAAACTTGACATCATTTATAATGAAATTATGTTCATAAGACACAAGGAAAAACAAAAGGAATTTACCCCACACACATCACAACCAATATTTGCATGAAACTTAGAGCCATGAACAGTCCACCACTGCAGAAAATTCTCTTCTGTAGGGAACGAGAGCCTGGGAACTTGAGTATTGACCTCTGTACAACCCAAAAGGAACATTAAGACAAGAAAGTTTATAAATATACAGAAACTGAATATAACGGCACCATAAGTGAGAAACAATAAGCACCACCAAAATAACTGAGAATTTAGTATCCTGTTAGATAGGGATCTTGGTGTGGAATATTTCCATTTGTTAGGCTCCACTAAGTTCTAACTTGTACCAAACTAAACACATTACAAATGAAAACCCTTTCTGTAAGTTCATAGATCATTGAACCCCATAATTAGTGATTTGGTTGTTTATGTGGTTAACTAGAAAATTCCCATACATTTTATTGCAGTTTTTGGATCCATTGTAGTAGATACCAGATTGTCCAAATTACTGAAAAAGAACATCCATAAGCATTCTTTTGAGCTAGAAAGATTAAATGGCTAGAAAAAGCAAATGCGAGGAGATATTGTAATTGAGCCATGGTTTGTATCAGGAGTGCGGTGGCTATAAAGTGATGATAATACATGCTTTGTACTATAACCAACTGCAAAGCAAGTACAGTCTTTATGAGGTTGACTGTATTAAATCACTAAAACATACCATTGGGTAGAATCCTGTTTTGGGTCTGCTCTTGATTGAGCTGAATAGTGTTTCTCCTCAATGCATACTCTGACGCAAACTGTTCCTCTAAGAAATGATCAAGCTCCCTACACACTTTTGGAAATCCACTTGGATGTCGGCATTTACAAACTTGACATTTAAGCATTCCCTCAGTTGGGATGGTGATGCAGGCCTCACAGTAAACTACAGATTGATTTTAAAAACAAAAGAGAAATGGACAGGATGAGCCTATGAAATTATTAATCAGAAATGTCATTAATAATAGTTAGACGGAAGTCTTATGCAGCAAATACCATGGCCACAATTAAGAACAACAGGCCGAAAAAGTAGCTGCTTGCAAGTAGCACACAGCACGTCACTGACTGAACAAGTTCTAACAGAACTCTCGTTCAATTTCTTTTCTTTGGTAGAAAAAGGATCTACTAAAACATCATCTTCAAAACTGAGATCGGAAGTTTGGCCCACATTGTTTAGACCATTCGATTCTTCACTGGTAACAAGACTATCAATGTCCGGTGAAAATCCTGATGTGCTTTTTTCATCCTCTATACGATGTCAAAACAAAAACATTACTGATGTTGCAAATGCAATTGGATAAAAAGGCAGGGGAGGGGGTGGGGGTAAATAGATTCTAACTTTCATCTATTATTAACGCTTAAATAACTTGAAGGGCTGTGAGTATCAAGTGTACCCCGTGTTTGTATGCTCCTTCTATTGTAGGAAATTGGATACAACTTCTTGAGCAAGAAGTGAAGTGTCTGGCAGATTGCAGGAAAATGATGATAAGTATGCCTACATAATGGACAATGAGATTCACTTTTCATATCCATCGAACGTTGGCAACACCAGAAGCAGGAGACATGGCCACAAACTGCAAACAACCACAATATCACCAGCAGTAACCAATAAACCACAAAAAAGATCACCATTGAGAAAATCTATTTCAGTTGTGAACATTTCCTACCTAGAACAATGGGTTTGTATAGAACATCTCTGCAACAAGAAAGCAGCAACTTTACTTGAGAGACATCATCACCAATCAAACAAATCAAAAAAGGCAAGAAATCAATAACCCCAGCTAATGAACCATCTACATAACCATGAAGCACCAGAAGCTACTTGAGATAAATTTTGCAATAATGAAATACATCATCTATCCAATATGAAAAGGTACAAACTTAATTCATATGATCAATTTACCCAGACTGAAAATGGCAATGAATTCACCTAATAACAATTTCAAATTTTACAATCGCACAGAAATTAGTAAATCCAACCACCGAATTCAAATTGGGAGTTCCTATTTGGAAAATGGATAATACAATCCATAAAACCAATATTGTTCATCAGGTGCTATCTTGTAAGCCATAAAATAAGCAAAATTAACTTCTAAAACGCATATAATCCCAACAAAAATGGAGAAAACTTGAGGAATTGAATGTCAATTGTAAAACATATACACAATTCACATCTCATACACCAAATCCTAAGTTCAAAACCTAAAATGGAGCTAGTAGAAACACAATAATCCTAAAACCAAATTCCCCAAAGGAAAAACGCACAAATCACGAGTATTGTATACAGAAAAACAAAATTAAAAACTCAAACGGATAAACTGAGACATTACAGGCAAACTGCACAGGTGAAATTATCAGAAATTTGCTCCGATTCGGTGCCTTCTTCCATGGCCGATCTTCCGGGATAGAAACGATCGCTATTTTCAGCTTCTTATTGGAATGAAAAAAAAAAAAAAAGGCAACAACGAAATTATTATTTCCTTCGTATCTCCGACCCAATCAGATCAAACCGCTAATTAATATTTGAAAAAAAATATTTGAACCAAAAATCAAACTCAATAACGAGTTTCGTTGATTTTTCGTTAAGTTTTGCATCGATATAACTGTTTAAGCAGATTAATTTGTATCAATTGGAAAGATTTTTGTTTTGCAAAGTTTTTTATGGATGAAATGATCGTTTTTTTTAATTAAGAGAGTCTACATTGAAAAAAACTTGACTTTCTGCATAAAACTTTCGCCTAAAAACTTACAGAATAAGTTGTTTTCTGTATCATTAAGCCACTATCGAGTAGTCATGTATAACTGACAGAATAAGTTGAGTTATATTAAACTCATTAAGGGGGTGTTTGGGATTTTGCTTATTTGAAACAACTTATGTTTTTCTACAAATGTCTTTATCAACTTATTATAAGTTAGAATGATTTACCTTCTTCAAAAACACCTTATTACCGGTTTGTCACCGGTATAAGCTGTTTATCCAAAGTGCTTATTACTGGTGTCATACCAGAATAAGTCAATAAGATGTTTTTATAAGCAATCTCAAACAACCCCTAAGTTGCTACCAAGTAGGCCCATAGCCAATCTCTGATTTGGTTTCGATTTGGTTCAGTTCTCCGGTTTGGACCGAGTTTTACTTACCTTTGTAGTATAAATCTCAACTAATATTTGAACATTAGCTAAGAATATGCAAAATTCGTATCTCTACGTGATTATCAAATACTTTCTCAAATCTTTGTGCATCACTTAAACCGTATTTCGAATTCGTCCATCTCTGGATCAATGATCTAATATTAACACTTCAAAGTGATCGGCTTAATAGTGTTGAGTTAAGTCCCGACTTAAGGTGACAAAGCTTAAGAATCAATAACAATGGCAACACCCACGTGTGCTTATAAGTTCTTAAGTTTGACTCACACCTACACCCAGAAGGGTGGTTAGCTTATAATGAAATTACAGAACATATGAAACATAATATAAGACAATAAATAAAACTGAAACATAATTTTCATTAAAATAGAACAAAAGTTTGCTGCCCATAGTGGTAAAACTGTGGCAGCAGATTACAATTAAGAAGAAAATTACATGCTAAAACTTAACTTAAGAGAAAAAGAAGAAGAAAGATCTCAGCTGAGTTGTGCCTCAAATGGATGATCTTCAAAATGAGAGCAAATGTTTCAATTTATAGGAGAAAGAGAAAAATGGACATCCATTTTATCCAAAAGAATAAAATCTTCTTCCAACTTGAGGGTAAAGACTTCATATCACTTCTTGCAAGCTTTTCTGGACTTCTCACCTTTTTTTTGAAATGATAAAAAAGGTAGAGATGATATTTCCCTTAATTCAAGGGAAAAAAGACACTTTAAGTCATTTTTTATACAAAATGGCCCATCCCTTTAAATATTGTGAAATTTCTAGAAAATTGACTGCAGAATTAATTTTCTTAAATACCCAGAAAAAAAGGTATTTAAACTTATCCAAATCTACTTTGAAGAAATTTTCACTGTGGGCAGATAGTGGGCACTGTCCAGCAGTGACTGTTTTTCAGAATAAAATCAAATCATTGACCTTTCATCACCTCTTAAAAACATTTTAGACAAAAAATACAAGATAAAGACAAAATGGGTACATAAAACACATAAAAATAGAAGTATTGAATAACAAATAACTCTCAAAATTGAGAGTTATCAATGACATTATTAGAAAAAATATTCTTTAAAAGTTTCTTATAAGAAAAACTAACTGGACACTTTATTTCAAATTCAAAAACTTGTTAGGATGTTCACATACGTCATGACATTCCTATTGTAACATCTTTACACAAGACGTACAATTACACTTTTTCTTTTTGAAGTATTTAATATTTATATACGGCAAATACAACAAATAAACTCACATACCCTCCTCACTTTTGGTGAGGTTTGAACCCATGGCCTCGTAGGAGGCCAAAAACTATGATACCGCTAGGCCAAAGGCCCTTTGATTACAATTACACTTGTTCATCAATTATGATGGTTTGCCGAGGGCCTCTTTCTTCCTCCCTTTTCAACTCATTCGTAGGGTTCGTTTGGTCTTATAAAATTAAGTCATATAACGGACTCTATTAGAACATTAAGACATATTTAACGTCCTGTAAAATCGATTCTGTTGTAATGAATCCATCAAGATTCAGTCGTTGAAATGATCATAACGACACGAGATTCTAAGATCGAATCTTAAACGATCAATAAGTTATTTGTTTTAGGATGATATAGGGTTGGGTTCACGTGAGACCAACCTATTTTCATGAGACACCTTTTTTTACACTTGAAACTTCACAGCAAAACACTGTGAAGGTAAAAATACCGAACTTTCACAGCAAAAACACTGTGAAGGTTACATTCACAAGTTTTTCTATGAAGTTTCAAGCGTAAAACAAAGTCTCACGGGTCTCACGAAAACAAACTGATCTCACGTAATCACAAGTCAGACGACATACGTATGGCAAGTTGGCTCCTCTTGAAAGTTATGTGTCACTTTAAAATCTCACTTTTACCTTGGATTATAATTTTTTTTAAATGTTGATATTATAGTTTTTTAAAAAAGCTGTTAAGAGTTTTTAGCATTGTAACTTGTTAGAAATGAGTTGTCAATTATTAGACAAACATTCAATTTTTTAAAAAACTTTAGGATCATAAATTAATATAGATTTTCTCTAAAATTTGTTTTAACAAATCCAAATCCAAATTCATAATATCTATACTATATTATAAAGCATTTGGCTAAAACTCTTAAAAACTCTTAAACTCTTAATCTCTTAAACTCTTAAACCCGCTCATCTCTAAACGATTTCATCCCTATCCGATTTCATCCCATAACTAAATTCGTGTAACTAACTGCAGATAAACATAATCCAATATAGGATAAACATCTCATTTTAAATA